CTCACAGTTTTGGGCTCTAAAATTAGCAGACTGCTGTGATTATCATCCTCATCAAGTCTATTAAGATCCCCATTCAGCAACCTACTGAGTGAGTTCCCCATATACTGTCTGCTATTGAGGTCACCTACTCTCTATCCTGTCTCTTTTTGTGTTACAGTACTTATACTTACCTTCTCTCCTCTAAGGCCAGGTGATCCTATGTTTCCTGGCTCCCCCTATGGAGCAGAAAAAGTAGGCAATATATCATTTTAATGAAGGTGCTTATCACTGCTCACACACACGCAAGCAAACACAGTGACACAAACAAAATCAGAAATAGACAGAGTAAAACAAAGCAATTACCTGATTAGTTTTCTGCTGCCAAGTGTTATATATCATTGTTTCTTTTTAGTAATACCCAAAATCCTCCAAAACAAAAGATAAAACAGCTTATTACTGTTTTCTTACTCTAAGTGCTCAGCTTTTTATTCAGCACTAGAATCATATTAATTCTTACTTGCTCTCCTTTCTGTCCAGTGCCAGGCTTCCCGTTCTGGCCTTTCTGCTGGAGGGTTTTGGTCAAGAAGAGGTTAGGTGGTAACTCTCCGAGAGCGGGGCACACAGAACATGGCTGTCCCTAAAGCATGCAGACAGATCAGAAGTGGCTCAAAGATGGTCTCAAAATAACTAAAAATGCACTGCTTTGTATTCAGCACCAGAATTGCATTCATGCAGGAATGATTCAAATGAGGCAACACTCGATGAAAAACAAATGAAATGAACATGTTTAGGAACATTCTGATATTCCACGACATGTGCAACTCATTTGAAGGAAAACATTAAATGTCCAGGTCTGGCAAGAAAAACTGTTAACTAATCAGGCTAGTCTATCTTTCTGACAGCCAAATAAGGTAGTTTAAACACGGAAATGTTTAACTTCAAGCCTAATAAAGACACCAAACTGACCTTTTCTCCTTTGGCACCATTTGATCCTGGTTCTCCCTGCCAAAACATACAAAAACAAAGCAAATTAATCCCAGCCCACCCTGATGAGCATGTCTGCTTTGAGATGTTGTGTCTCAAACATTGCTGTTCCAAATATTGTGCTCATTAGGCAGATGTGGGAGTATTTTAGCAGTGGGTGTGTGCGAGTTGGTGCATGGACTTTTGTCTCTTTTGTGCTTTATGAAGTATATTGTAGTTCAGACTGTATTTGCTTTAGGAGAGAGCCTTCTGCACTGTTGTTGTTAGCATAACTAAATGTGTAAGACTGCAGATGACTGTGTACAGGTCATACTACCAGGGAATACGAATGAACAATACAGTAAGCTGTAAATGAATGTGGGGGGCTCTATACCTTCGGTCCCGTCTTGCCATCTGCACCTTGATGCCCCTGGTAAATAAAGAGAAAGAAAAGAAGAGAGAAGTAGGAGTAAGAGTATTGTTAGGTCAACTTGGTTAAGAGTGAGGTCATATCTCACTCTGCTTCTCTCTGTTTGCTCCACCTTCTTCTCTAACCAGGTATGACAGATGGATGCAGGCAATAATGGAAATCATTGCACAGAGAATCTCATAAGGCTCAAGATTTATACTCCCCCCACAAACAAATCATTCCCCATTTAACCTGTTGGGGTAAGTGGGAAGCTGTAGAATGAGGAGAAAGAAAGACACAATGCGCAGCATCTTGAGTCCTAATTCACCAGAGATATATCTATATAATACACGCACTATTAAACGAGTGTTCAAAGTTCAGCTGTCAGCTACAGCTCGAATCATGTCTACAACTCCCCAATAAAACATGTAACAAGATTGCAAAAATTCTGGTCGGGACAAAAACACATTGCAGTTTGACAGTCAAATTGCTGTATTTACATGAGGTCCTCTCTCTCCGATCCCTGGTAATCCAGGCTCTCCTTTAGGGCCAGGCTTTCCTTGTAGAGCCAATGGGTTACCCATGTCTGCAGACAGCACAGGGCACACTTCACAAGGGTCACCCTGAAGATTGAGCACAAGTCAAACATGCAATATGTGGATGCAAGAGCACACAAACAAACAGACCGAGAGATTTAAAAAAAGAATGTTAACAGGGTATTATACCTTATCTCCCTTTGGCCCTGCTGGTCCTATTGGTCCCTAAACAGCAGAATCCCAGTCAAGCACTGATGTACAGTATTAGCTCCTAGTTAGAATAATGTCTATTGGAAGCTCCCTCTTCCACACACACACACATATACACACACACACACACACACACACATTACTGAATTCCAATCAGCATTTAAAAGAGTCTCTCACTGGATTGCCTGCTTGCCCCTCTTCTCCTGGAGGTCCTGCATCTCCCTGTGAACATATATCACTGTTTGACATATAAATGTTGTTACAGTTACCTCAAAAAAGTATATCTATTTTTAACTTGTTCAAAATTCTGATATTTTTGGGGCTTTTCTAGCCTGAGGATGAATCCACAGGAAATCACATAATCCATCAACTAAAGTGAAAACATAAAATACATCCAAAATGAAGATAGGTTAATATGTCTCCCTAGATCAGTGGTTCCCCCACAGATCTATCAGATGACCTTCACCTCAGCTAACTACTGCAGTGGGTGTAGTCACCACTACATAACCTTTAATACCCTTGAACTTTCAGCATAGAGTAGGCTCAAGTTTGAGGTATTTTATTTTATACCATCATAAGGCATGTACAAAAGGTCTTGTACCTTGTTTCCTTTTGCACCACCCGGTTCACCAGGAGGGCCCTGACAAAAAAAAAGATTCAAATCTTTTCAAATGCTTTCCTCAAGATGCTTTTAGGCATCTGTTGCAGGCAATAAATGTGGCACCACAAGAAGCCCTGCCAAGTCCTGAAAGTATTGTCTAATAAACTTCCTAAGAGGAATGTGTTATCAAGATAATCGGTAAAATGACACCATCTAATAAATGCAACTAGGCTTCTTTTTTCCCTCCAGAGTCCTTAATTTAAATATCACACTTACTGGTGGGCCTGGTTTTTCAACTCCTGGCAGGCCTGGAAGTCCAGGTTTTCCTGGCTCTCCAGCCAACCCTTCAGGACCGACCATACCTGGGGTACCCTGTGAAATAAAAGTTCAACACAGCGCCATTAAACCAATCTAAATGACAGACTGTTAGTGGTAGAAATTCCCAAACGTAATGCAGACAGACCTTCTGTCCCTTGGGGCCAACTATACAGACGGTCCCTTCTCGACCCTGGGAAATGGTGACAAACAGAGAGGAAAGGGCCAGCATCAGTATGGGCCAGACATCATCTGTGTCAGCCCAGAATAATCTGACAAGTTCTGTAAAAATCTATCTCCAAAAGATCTTCATAAATTGAGACACTTGGTGATTTCCTTTATTTGTTGTACAACTGGAAACAGAAAGAATGAGAATTGCAGTGTCTGCAAGACATATTCTCTTCAACAGTGCAGAAGTCATATTTTATGCCTGCCTGATTCCAGTCACATCAACAAAGACATTCATATTCACAATGTCAGGTGGATGGGAGGCTTAAGAAAATTTATCCTCCACCAAATCAGCCTGTCCACAACAACCGCTTAGCCTGGTGCACAGCGAAATGTGAGTGTCTGAAGCCGAAAACCAGGGGAATATCTCAGAGCACACACACGTTGTAATTTGTTCCTCAAAACCTTTTGTGCATCTACAGGATCACTGCCCTGAACAGGGAAGATTAAAAGGTTTGTCTTCCTCAACAGATGTCTGCCTGCATGAGACAGGAATACCAAAGTCAATGAGGCAGCATTGATTGTGCAAGCTTTGTTGCTGTAGTCTAATCTAACAGGCATTAATAGCCCGACTTAATGCCTCGAGAGAGAAGAGGGAGGAGAACACATATCAATGGGTGCTGAGCTTAAAGCGTAATACCGTATAACTTAGCTGAATATCCACTCTTAGACTGATAAAAGTGGCTGTGTAAGTGCAAGTATATTGGTGTGGTTTAGTGCATGCTCGCTTTGTTGTATTAAAGATACATATTCTAATTTAACTGTTTAACTTAACCCCATGGCAAACTGCATGGCTAATTTTAATTACAGAAACTCTAAGACCAAATTTAAAAAAAGAGCCAAAAGAGGGGAAAAAACCACCTACATCTTTCCCTGGAGTGCCTGTTAGGCCCTGTGGACCAATCTCTCCTTTCTGACCTTTTTCTCCCTAAACAGAGAAACAAGTGAAAATTATCAAGAGGTTTTAAATTAATTGGATGATCATTACAAGGTCATATCTTCATTATTCATCAACATCTGTTTCTTAAACCTTTCACCTTGTACCCAGCTGCTTCACCCCAGTTGGTGGGCATTGCCTGTGGAGAGAAGAAATGGAGACAAGGCCCAGATCAATGACCTGACTAAAGAGACATCACACACACACCACTGGAGCATAGTAAACAACACAGTGACTAGTCAGCTACCACCAGCAGGACCAATATTATAAACGTATGAATAACAGGCAAATCAGATGCATCAAACTTATACAAGTACAGAAACACATTCATAAACACCTGGAAATAAACATACAAAGTGCAATTCCCGCTGCATAATTAATATTGGGACTGGATGCTTAAAAACGAGGTTTTGAATAAAGATCAAACTAATTAGCTGAAGGGTTAGCATGACTATGAGGCAGCGGGATGTGGGGTTGTAACCTGCAGCAGAAGACTGACACTCACTGGATCGCCTTTGTCTCCCTTCTGGCCTTTGGGTCCATCTGAGCACTGAGGTTAGAGAAATTTGGTTGTCATGTATTACCAGAGACCACTTTTTGGCATGAAAGCTCACACTGTGTGGTATACCAAACGAGACAATGCTTTACTGTAAAATGAGGCACTGTGGGAGAATGAGATGCAATGGAAAAGAAACTTACTGGGCTGGAATGGGAGCCAGAACAGTCATCATCCTGAGATGAAGAAGGGGCAGAGAAGAAGAAAAAGTGCTTGAGGGTGAGGAACAGAATAAATGAGCACTAAAGAATGCATATTAGTTTAGAGACTGGTCCGCAGCCAGTATCAAATTAGACTACAGCAGCATCAAAGTGTGAATGTATAAGCATGCACTGTATGTGGATAATGCTAACACTGCTCAGTGCAAGACATGTCTAGGCACATGAGATGCCATCACACATTCCACTAATATTACTTTTACTACACACATACATACACAGATGCGTGTGTCTGTATATACTCTATAGATGTCCTTCATACTCACCCGGTCACCTTTTTCCCCTTTCAGCCCAGCAGCTCCATTGAAATTTCTGACCTGCAACACACACATACACACAGTTACACACTCTACAGTGTTATCCTTTTGACAACTTCTAATGGAAAGAAGTGAAAGTAAAGATCAGTGATCCTTACATTTTCTTCCCTATTCAGGAATAAACAACCAGCACACTACAGACAGACAGACATAAAGAAAGAGAAAATTATTATACTGTATCAAATATTCACTGAAGTTTTAAGAAAATGTCTTATAGTTTGTTCTCACCAGGTGGTGGCACTGTTACACAAAATTAAACTTTGCTGAAACCCTGGGCTGTTAGTGTGCAGTAAAAAAAAGTTAAGAGGTGGGAAAGTGGGCATGTGCATTTGCATGCATACACACACACACACAAACACACACACACACACACATTTCCCATGTGAGATGGAAATCAGTAGGAATGTCTGATTCCCACTGGAAGGCACTCACATATAAAAATAAGAAAGCACAAATACATACCAAATAATAATGATCAATAAATAAAGCACTTTCAGCCAAAGCAAAGAATTAAAACCAAAATCCCCACCAGGTGTTGCTAGGTGCTTTGCTTACTGAAATGACAAAAGAGGGCTAGTAACAGCACAGAGACTGTGTGTTATTCTCCCTCTACACTTCCCCCTACCCACTCCTGCGTACATGCTACAGATCTATCAATGACTGGTTCAACCAGCTGCAAAGATGAGTCACTCGAGTTGTTTGTATTTACAGTATACAGCCTATCAAGCTTGATATTTAGTTGCAACATCTGTGTACTTTATTGTCCACAGTAAATGTCCTACTGTGCATCGCTAACCTACAGTATATACAGTATATTAAATCCCTACATTACAAGTTCGTGTGTTGCCAGTACAATTCCCAGACTCTACGGGCGCTATACAACATTATTACAACCCTAAAAAGCCGCTATAAACACACATCTAGCAGACACTAAGCAACATTATCAGTCATCTGAAGTCCAATAGCTGCTGTCATTTTAAACCTGCATTGGCTTCTACCAACTTACTAGTTTTCTTTAGCTGCTAAATGCTCAGTTATGTTCATCAGCTAACTGTCTAGTCACTAAAATGCTCTGTTAATGATACAGTTCAGTCATTACACATGCATCTCTAAATCTATTTCTTTATATAATTAGTGTTTCAGTACAAAGTTTCAAATTTTGGCACAAGTATTCCAGTTACAGTAGTGTTTAACATCAAAATAAATCAGCTCACTTTCTGACATCGGCACACTTTTTATGCATGACAGCTGTGTTTAATTATTAGTTTAAACATCTCAAAAGACATCTCAAAGAGCCAACATCCTATCAGTGATGGTTGCTTTTTGGTATTAATGGGTTATTTTTTGGAATTGTCTCTCTAGCTGCCAGAGACTGACAAAACAAGGGCAAGATACAGCAGACAGAAATGAAAATTAACATCAGCAATAAACATAATTTCACTGTTTTCTGGTTTGTCATTTTCAGTAGTGCAGAACCAGTGCTACTTTCTCAAAAGCATGATAGCATTAGGATTGTGCTGCAGATGCCAAATCTACTCCTTATTCAGATAATACTATATAATACATATTATAATAATACACAGGCGTCTGTCTAATTTGACCAAATTAAATTCACAGCACAGAAGCCACTTTTATTTCATTGCAAGTGTGTGCCCTTTGTGGCAGGGCAAGCTGTGGGCTCTAGCCCATGTAATAACCTACATTTGAAGAAGTCACAGGAGGCAGCCAAATGCATTAGTAAGCACACACAGGAGCAACATAATGAAGCGTCTGGAGTTTTGTATTCTATTTGTGAACATAACATGCTATTGTAGGTGAATGACAAAATTAATAGGCAGCATCAACTCCCAACTGAGATTCAGCGCATAATGGGGTGTAAATCAGTCTGTAGCCAGTCAGCAAGTGTCGTACGGAAGAGGAAATGGAGATGAAGCATTTCTTTTTCTAATACCATAGACAACACACATACACACAAAATAAAATCACACACACAATACACTTATATGGCCTGTACACTGTTTGCCTATTGGAATTTCAGCAGCACATACATGTTGGAAATCTCTTTATCCATTCAAATACTTGCTAATCCTGGACTTCATTTTAGGATACATTGGCCAGAAACATAATAATTGTGTCTCCAGTCCATTCTGACTAGAAATTTAGACAATCCAATTCACCTCAGTGGCAGGTCTTTGGATTATGGGAGCAAACCAGCACACACTTTTCAATGTCACTTTGTTGACTTAAGGCGACCTTCTTGGTCTGAGCCACTGTGCATTCCCACAAGTCTCATTAGATATTGTGTGAATGTGTGGGTGGGATTTGTGAGGCTTACTTTCTCTGCCAGATCCTTGGATGCAAAAATATCCTGTTGGTAGAAACAGAAAACAGGTCTTTTTTTTTTTATTTCACACTATATCTAAACATTACATTACTACAATTTCGTCTTATCAGTGGTTCACAACTGGTTTCTGCTGCTCAGATCATATAGTTCATATTCCCTGGCAGCTCTGTGGAAGTTCATAGTAACTAAATCTGCTAAAGATATTCCCATAAATGGCAAAAAATGTAAATGTTTCCATGATATCAATGTCACATGGCATCTCTGGCAAAGGTAAACTGTTGTTTTCCTGTTGCATGTGTAGTGCACCCCTTTAAACCTTGTTTCCATTGCAATTCATTGCATCACATAAGGCAACAAAGAAAGGAGAAATAAGGGCCATCCTAGTTTCACATACAGGTCATTAACAGTTAGTGAAAAAAACAACATGAAAGAGGATGAGCATAAAGAGGAAGAAGTACTATACATCATGGGCTCTAAGGCAAATGCTCAGATGGACCCCTGCTGTGCAGACTAAAAAAAATAGAGTTAACAACAAGAAAGAGGGAGGACAGACTGCAAAGCTAATCGGAAACAATTATGCTCAAGGCTGCAAGTTAGAAGGAGAGAACCAAGGAAGAGTTTCAGCAAAGAGAAGAAAGAGGACATTTTACAGCTGGTGTTGGACTTCATAAAAAGTCAAGCAGAAACAAAACACAGTCTTCTGAGGACTAGATGACCTTTCAGCTGGGAGCTGGGTTGAAAGCAAGAAAAAAAGACAATTGCAGTTATAGCCCAGGTTGTTGGAAGATAAGAGACAGTGTGGGTGAGGTTTTATACCTCAGGAACATAGTAACTGCTGTGACTCAAACACAGACACAAGCAATGCTACACACACCACTGCACCAAACCTAATTCTACTAGCAGCTGCAAAAACAGGCTGTTTAACATCAGGGGGAGCTGTGGGGGTTTAATATTATAAGCAAGTTAAGCCCTTCAATTTCTCTGACTTGCTGGGGAACTAAACTTCGTTCAAGCCACTAGAATTTAAAAGGCAGTGTTAGAGGTGGTTGTAGGTAAATTCTGTTATCTTTGAACAGTGCCAGTCTAGCTAGTTTCCAGTCTTTGCATCTGGCCAGCCAGCTGTTGGTGTTAGCTTCATAGTTACCTGACAGTGAACATGACAGTGGTATTGACATCCTCAGCCAACTCTTGGCAAGAAGCGAAAAAAAGTATATCTCCCAAAGTGTCAAACTATTGCTTTAAAAGAGTTATTCACCAATTTAGCAATATACTCACAATTGTGAGATTCATGGTCTTACCTTTTTATTCCATACATTCTCCTGTGTCAAAACCTAGCACTGTCAAAAATGTAACATGACTGTCAACAGTTGGAGATTATGCTGGTAGTGGCTAATGTAGCCTTGGGTCACTAGTCTAGCTGCTAGCAGAGATGAGGAGTTGGTCACAGTGAGCTGGCAAGCTTTCGAGGCACACCTTAAGATTTTTTTTTTCCAATTTATCATACTTCCCACAGCTCCCTCTGGAGGAGGCTTTATACATCTTTTTTCACATATTCAGTAGTGCTCCCCCAGACCTTTACAAATATGTAAATTCAGTGGAGAAAACAAGTGGAGGAACTGTGTGTTACGGGGTGAACAAAACAATATGCATCCACAGCAATAATATTTAAGTAACAGTTGACCTCAGTTTACCCTGTGCTCATTCCATGGAAGTATTGTACACTATTCCTTTTACATAGAGCCTGCATGACATATGCTGGGTTTAATATGCTGTCACTGAGTGAGGTTAAGCTTAATGCTATAGCTCAGTAACATCTGGCCTGCACATTGGAATCTTGGATTTCGTAGTTAATTTACTGAAAAAAAAAAACAACAGAAAAATAGGAAGTCCTCAAGTCTGTGTATGTGTGATGGGAACAGAGAAAGAAAGGAGAATTTACAGAAAAATGAGAAATGAGAACAAGCTATAGTCATTGCAGTTGTAGTAAGAACAGAAATGCTGGTAACACTACTAGACATATAAGGCTAAACACCATATTTCCCAGATTACCCAAACCAGTCAAACTGCAATAATTGAAAGCAAAGGTGAGGGGCAGAGAGTGACATCTGTGAAAGAGAAACACAGAGAGATGGCATGCCTAAGTTATTGTAACTGTGTCTAGATAGAACCATCTATGAGAATGATTTACTGTGTCCTGAATTCTGCCAGAGCTCTAACACCAGCACTGCCCAAGACAAACACTCAGCCCTGAAGAGTAGATAACTGGATGTAGGTCCAATTAATATGAATGAGGAAATAAGGGATGTCAAAACAAAAATACTTTACCTTCTTCAGTTACTACAAAGGCTACTACTTCAGATATCATGTGACACTGAAGCAGCCATGAAAAACACCATGGAAATGTGTGGAAAAATAGCTCCCAGGTGTTGCATAAGGCTCTATTTGTCATGCATTTAACACTGAACAATTGCTAGCACCAGATTAAACTGAACTAAAGTAATAAAACCTCAAAAGTGCTAAAGACAATAGCAAGAAAGCATGTTTTTTCCAGGAAGAAAAGGCACACCATTTGGTACAAGTTCTACAGACCAGTGTTTGCTTGCCAACGAGACCATCTCAGCCATATCAAACTGTCTCATGAAAAAAGGCCAAGTGAGTACTATGTCTGTGCCTGATGGGAACCATGTGTTCTGATAAATCATTGTGGAATTCATGGAGTGTTTGGGAAAGATCTGATGACATTTTTCCTGAATTTGTTACCGGAGTTGAGTTCTTGTCTTTGAATTTACAATGGCTCAAGTTTATAAGATACATATTTTTAGTGTATATTTGAAATTGGTTGCCTTGCATTAATTATTTCATGTGAAAGAAAAGATAAATGTCATTCTTTGTGTGGGCATGTTGGTGGTCTGTGATTTACCTGGTTAAATGTGTTTTCCAACAGGTCGTTTTCAGCAGCACGACGACTCTTGGAAACATCAGGCGGGCACTGCAAGCATGAAAAGACAGATAATCTTAATCAGAGCAGAAGACCACTTTGGTGGCTTATGTTTGTATGTATGTTTAAATCTGATATGACCGTTATTTCTGGGTTAGGTCAAAGAACAAAAGAAACCATGACTGTATATAAGACTAAGGGTTCTATTTTCATGTAATGCAAAAAGATTATTTGTCAACATTATTTCCTGTCCTTAAAATTTGCTTTGCACATCACTGGCTGCATGCCAATACACTTATCTGATCGTTCTTTGCTTTTCAATCCTCAGCCCCGAAGTCTGCCATCCGGTCTAGCCTGCCATCTTGAAATATGTTCTAAAGCTCTTATTTGTGTGTGAGGAGCAAGGATTGAGAAGCGAGGAGCAATCTGAGGATACAATAGGCCATCCTTCACCAGAGACTATTACAGGGATGACACATCACTTAATTAGTAATCTGGTCGCTAGAACTGATCGTACTGATCTGATACTACATCACAACATCATTGCAGTTTTATACTGCAGTAGACAGAAGAATTATGAAACCTATTTAAGATTCCCATGTCTTTATTTGTTTTCAGATTCACCACCTGGTTAACAGTTGTGAACTATAGATATGATAGACAAAAGAATGATGAACAATTCTCTCCACTGAGTTTTCTCTGCAAGACCAACTACTATTTTGCTTTTTAATCTGTAATATTATATTCATGGAGAGAAGGAGAGTCTGTCTTTCAGAAACAGATATATTTAACTTTTTTCCCCCATTCAGTCACATATGAGGATGAAATTCCCTGTGTATTGTTTGTCAGTTTGATGTGATATGTTTACTTAATTTACACTTTGTCTAAAACATCTGGGCAAATACAAACTAAAACCAACAAAAGTCATTATATGACTATAAAGTTTGACTGACAGCTGAACCAACTGCACCTCCGTCATTAGAGGCTGCCATCGCTTCAGATGACAGTTCAGAGGAAAGGACATCTTATTTCCTTGTTTCTTTCTCCTTGAATCTTTGGTGCCTAAATGCAGAATGCATGGTGCACAGTTGGCAGGAGAAGTACAAGGAGGTTTTAAAGTGTAGATGCGCTCGACACATTGGCCATGGCAAATACCAGCTGTGATGTAAGCACAGAGCCTGAACAATTTATACTTACGCTTTACTCGCTGCAGTCTTCTCCTAAATGATAGGTGCCACTGCTGAAGAAAAACACAGTCTACACAGCTGGAAAAGCAGTAGAAGAAGAAATCTACAGGAAATAGGTTTTGTAGCTAACTAGCCAGGCAAACCTACAGAACAGCTGAATGAAGCTGAAGGAATGCTTGTGTGGTATACCACGTGTGTTTCAGCTCTCTACCTAGCTAGTACACCAAGCCACAGATGTCTGTATAGGGTACTGAATGTCTGGAGAGATAGACCTGCTCACCGACTCTTGCCCCCAGCTTGTGCATTCCTTTTTCGACATGCATCAAGTTACAAAAATTGAGATGTGTGTGACCTGGCGAAATGACCCCAGTGCAAACCACGTGACAGCACTTGTGATGTCATTTTTCATGCACACCACTGGGCCGATGCACGTGAACGGCGAGTGTAAACTAAGTGTCAGGTTCATTCAAATGGCAGTGTAAAGTGAACTGTTTGTAATTTGGTGGAAACTATGTCTTAGATTTTGCACTTGAACAGATGTGTCAGAATCACATCTGTTCTTGCATTGCCACATATTTAGGTTGTCCTCGTGATTTTATCAAGAAAAGCAAACTTCTTCTTCTTCTTCTTTCGGCTGTTCCCATTAGGGGTCGCCACAGCAAATCATCTGTTTCCACCTAACTCTATCCTCAGCATCCTCTACTCTCACCCCAATTAACTTCATGTCCTCTTTTAGCACATCCATATATCTCCTCTTTGGCCTTCCTCTTGACCTCTTGCCTGGCAGCTCCATCTCCAAAATTCCTTCTACCAATATAACCACTATCCCTGCCCTGCACATGTCCACACCAAATCTCTGCTACCTCCATCTCTGCCTCTTGTCTTTTCCTCACTGCTACGGTCTCTAACCCATACAGCATAGCTGGTCTCACTACTCTCTTGTACACCTTTCCTTTGATTCTTGCTGCCACTCTTCTGTCACACAACACTCCTGACACCTTTCTCCACCCACTCTATCCCGCCGGCACTCGCCTCCTCACCTCTTTCCTACACTCCCATCACACTGGACTGTTGACCCCAAATACTTAAACTCCTGCCCCTTCTTGA